TTGTAGAATACATGTGAAACATATAGACTTTAGTTGTTAGCTATACTTTATATATACATTTATGTTTTAAGCACAGATCATTAAGTTTTTATATGCATTTATGTTTAACACAAAGATTTAAGACCTCAAATTAAATTTTTCTAAGCACTTCACCTGATAAAATTATGGTATCTCAAGTCTTCAGACCAAGCTAGTGAAAATGTGTATCTCAATTAGCAAATCGAAAAAGAGAAAACAAAAAATTAAACTTAATGCAACGGCTGAATTGCAGTGATGCAGCAGTGCAGATTTGCACCAGAAAATTCATGAACTTTCTCTCAGAGAATAATTTCTGTAATTCCATTAAGGGTGACGTTGTTCTTCGAATCGATGTGTCTTGAAGCGTTCATGGTAGCCAAATTAGTTCCATAGTTAAATATCTGCATGCATGAAAAGATAAAGAGGAAGGTGCTTTAGTAGCAGGATATGAAAGAGGTGCAGGGCTGTGCTGGAAACTCTGCCCTGAAACTATGATTATACAAGAACACCTTGTCTCTCTGTAACATTAATAATACAACCCCATGTTTACTTATTTCTGTTTTTTTCCTTTGTACACACGACACGACAAGCTTCTTCACTGTACCAGACATTTCATTTTATTTATTTTTTATTGCATTTGATTTTGCTCAGTGCTCCTGGTTGCTTCTTTCACCACTGAACCCAGGAAGTGATTAATGGAGACATAAGAGCCCCGACCTGATAGTTGGGTTTGTTCTGGGGTTTGGGGTTGAAGCAGATTCCCTCAGGGCCAGTGTCACAGTTTATTTAGTGAAGGAGTCTTTGCCAACTTGCAGTGTTAAGAGTGTGAGAATATGGGTGTGTACGTATTTACTAAATTATGATCTGTCTGTGTATGCCAGTGTTCATGTCCCTGTCAAAGCATAGAAATAAAAAGAGCTGAGACTCTTTGTGATGCTTTTAAGAGACAAATCCTGGGGCTGCTGCTCTGACAGTAAATAGGACACTTTGTGGACACAGTGACAGCAACCAGGGTAATTTTTTTCATGTGTGTTTTTTAGTTCGTGACTGTCAATTATAATGAAATAAAGCCCCTTTGGGTGTAACAGCTAAACCAAATATTTTATGAATCCACACAGCCACTCATTGTCAACAGAGGCTCCTCCAAATTCTGTTTCCTGATTACAAAACAGGTTAGAGCTCCAATTCCTCAGATTCCTGTCTCAGGAAGAGTGTCTCCTTTGTTCACAAATATTGATTGAACTATCAAAGATTATAGAAATAACCTGTGTGGATTCTATTTCAGGGTAAAAACTTTAATGTTTTCCAGGGTTGAACCTGCCACTAGTTACCAGGCATAACCAGAGGGAGAAAGACAGCATGCCGAGAGTAGGAGAAAGACAGATAATTCAAGAGTCAGATGAAAGTAGACAGATGATGGAGTGTAGATACTGGTACAGACAATTTTTTCCCTTACCCCCTCCTTCCTTCTCTCTCCTCCCCTCACTTTCCCTCCCACCCTTATTCCCTCAGTTCTTTGCCTAATAAGCAGCGTTCCTGTGAGCTGATGCAAGGCGGAGGAAACAGAACAGGCGTTCTGGGACTGCTGGAAATATTCCCACATGAGGCATAACATGATAAAGACTTATTATCTCACTAAGCTGCTGTAAACACAGATGCACACATAAACTCACACTGTACACAACTCTCTCTCTCTCTCTCTCACAAACACACACACACACACACACACACACACACATTCACAGAAAGTGAAACTGGTCCGGCTTTAGGGTTCTGACGAGCAGTGACCAGGAGGAATCTGACAGAGCCAATCCCTCCAACAAAGCCTGAGAGTCAGCCGCGGTGAGCCAGCTCACTGGGCATTTGGCTCGGCTTGTTTGAACTCCACACACCCAGAGCAGTGGGAAGGAACAGACGGAGAGTTCTGAGTTCTGATTATTATTAGTGCTAAATTTTCGGGAACATCTGAACGAGCTACGTGTTGAAACAGGACTCATCCCAGCTCCTCTCCGCTCATCAATCACACCAGACACACACATAAACACATGCACCTAACATTTGCTGTGAGCTAATCCATTACAGTTCAAAGGTAGGTGTCAGCCTCTTAGACAAACACACACACACACACACACACACACACACACACACACGTGTATACACCAGAGTCATCAGAAACATGTTGAGTCCCATTTCCCTTCTTGTCTTCTCCATCCCAATTAAAAGGCAAAGAAGGCCTTTTATTTCCCTCTCCTCCAAACACATTCTTTATCTCTCTGATCTGCGCTCCTCCCTCCCTCGCTCGGTCCCCTCGGGGTAGTGGGAATGTCTCTCCCCACACTCTCTCAGGTCAGGGGTTCAGCTGGAGGGGGTCTGAGCATGTAGAGAGATCGAGAGAGGGAGAAAGAGACACACAGAAAGAGTGAGTAGCGGGTTGAGGCAGGCCTCTGCGCGGGCAGCTCCTCCTCGCTACCAGAAACACTTAAACTTAAAGCAGTGTCTGTGTGTGTGTGTGTGTGTGTGTGTGTGTGTGTGTGTGTGTGTGTGTGTGTGTGTGTGTGTGTATCATAGCCGTAATACTTCAGGGTAGATTTATGCCCCTGCCTTTTTCCCGACCTCCATTACACCAGCTTATATACACCCATTACAGGATATGACAGAGTACACACCCTTTAGAGGAGCATACCACATTGCCTGTGTGTCTGTGTGTGTGAAAGAGAGGGCATGTGCTCACGTCTTTACACACTCCCCACTTTCCCATTAGGTCCTTGTCCACCTGTGAGCTCTGTCTCTCTGTCTGTCTTTATCTCTATTCCCCTCATTGCTAATAAGGTCAATGAGGAAGAGTAAGAAGCAGATGGGCGTACAGTACATTACAGCACAGTGCAGTATAGTGTGGGCTAGGTAGCAGGCCGGTGATTCATGCTTAGTGAGACGTGTGATGATGTGAGGAGTTTCTACTGCGGTACAAAGTCAGTGGACTGTGCGGTGGGATCTGTTGATCACTCAGCACTATGCTTTGCTTCATAATATTACCTCAGGGAGCAGTTTGACCTAGCAGGGGTCTGGACAGAGGCGGGAGGAGATGGAATGAGGGGGAATGAAGAAGGGAGAGAAAGCGTTGGGAAGACAAGTGAGGTTGGAGATTAAGTGACTAGCTTTAAATGTCACAATAATGCTCTACTTCTCAGTCTTAACTTCACAGGCAGATGGGTGCCAGGTGGGAGGCAAGGGCGGGGGGAAATATTGCAGTGTGATTTGTAGTTTTTAAGTGGCGCTGCACTGGTGAAATCTGCCCGTAAGCAGCTGGTATAACAGTTCCAACGCGAGCTCCATGCTATTGCTGGTCTGGGGTTTTTTATGCCCCCCCCCCCCAAGCTGTGGCCAGTGGCGTGATGTTGTCAGGTTGTCCGTCCGTCCTATTCTCTAGAATGTGACATCTCATTAGCGCCTTGAGGGAATTTCTTCAAATTTGGTCAAAAAGGTGAAAGGTGAAACAGGTCCGGCTGGCGGAGATGCCCAGTTGTCATAGGGAAGTAGTTTCATTTTAGACCTTAGAAACAGCAGTTGACAAAGACAGTCCACTCAGTACAACATTTAAAAAGTATAGATAAATAAATTTCTCACTTACCTCAGTGGCATCAAAGCCATGCACATTTATTGTTTTGTGTGCTCAGGCCTTCAGAAATCAATGTCTGAAACTGACTCTATCCCAAATGATCTTGAACAAATGAACTTTGTTTGTGCTGCTTAAGACATTGAAAAATTCCACAGCAATACATCAATTCCAGAGAAAAATTCCCACCTTTCTTGGCCTTAGACCTCACTGATTTTAAAGTATCAGACATTTTTTGTGAAAAGACAAATTTCTGTGGAATTGTTAAAATGTCTTTTTTCTCAGTGCATCGGCACAAAAAAATCTGTTCTCCTCCATTGTATTGAGGCAACAGCAGAGAAGTCAGTGATTCCTCAGAGGAAAAGAAAAGTTAGATTCCCCCATGAAATGCCTTTTATTGTTTCCCCAGAAGGCATGTGTTGTACGCCTCTGAAAAACTCACGGATACACACACACACACACACACACACACACACAGTCGCACACAGGTGGCGGATAGAATGTCTCGATGGCGTTTTGTGTACCCACTCCGGGTTGCTGAAATAAAAGCAGTAGAACTTTCCCCTTTAAAACTATGCGCTTGTGTGTGTTAATTTCTAAAACTGGATGAGGCAGAAAGACGAGATTGAGCTTGTCATTAGGAGTTCACAGCCTGCGTGCTTGTCTGAAGGTTTGTTTTGTTTTGTATTAGCTGCCTTGTGTGTGTTCTGCACACGTATGTGTGTCTCTCTGTGTCTCCTCTCTCCCACGCTCAGGCTCCTAACGATGGCAAATGTGCCTGTGTGTTTGCGAGGCGTTGTTTCTCAAAAACAACAACACATCCAGGAACGGCTCGTTTTGTCAGGTTTTGTGCAGGGAACACGCTCTAATTAGAGAGGCCCTATGAAGGTGCATCAAACAGATCTTTCTCAAAGACCAACCTGCTCATGGCTCACACACAGCGCACACATGCCACCTCTGATTATTGGAGAAATGTGTGTGTTATTTAACTATATAGCAGAGTATTAACTGCCTTGTCAGTTTAGATTTGCTGCACGTCTGATCCAAATCTATGGATACGCTCCTAGGCTCACATTTACATGCATACAAAAAAGTGTCTGCTTCAGGTGTTGCTTTGTGGCCACTTGTGCATGTTTGTGTGTAGCTGGTTCATGACCAAAAGCCCTTTTCACAAAGTACACATGCACGCACACATGCACACAAACACACACAATTCACGTCTCTATCTCAGTGTGTGTTTACTTTACTTTCCTGCCTTGTTTGTTCACTCAGATGGGAGCAGGCTTTCTGCTCAAACTGCCCAGGTCACTTTTGTTCAATCACTGTGTTGTCTTGCCCCCACTCCCTCCTCCCACCTCTCTGCTCGCAGGTGCCAGTGATGATGGTGGAATCAGCCTCTGAGACCATTCGAACGACGCCGTCCAACCAGAACGGAGTCAGCAGCCTCAGCAGCCAATCAGATGGAGGGGGAGGTAGAGAGGGCGGGTCTAACGGAGACACCAACGGAGAGATCAGTCCAGTTGACTTACTGCACCTGCAGCAACAACAGGTGTGTGTGTGTGTGTGTGTGTGTGTGTGTGTGTGTGTGTGTGTGTGTGTGTGTGTGTGTGTGTGTGTGTGTGTGTGTGTGTGTGTGTGTGTGTGTGTGTGTGTGTGTGGCACATGTCATGCATGCATTTGTTTACTTGTCTACCTGTGCTTTTGAGACTTGTTTTGCAACTCCTCCCTCTTGTGCAACTTGTTCACACAGTCTATACGATACATTGCCTAGAACAGCATGTACACACCAGGCCGTTACATAATGTACAGATGTGACATCATGTAGTCAGCCACACTCTGGTAATTGTCAGCCTTGCATGTGCAAACGGTGAAAAGCTCTGACAGGTTGGCTCGTCGGTGCTTTAATTATCCACCGCTCATAATGTGCCAGCTAACTCCACAGGGAAAAAGTTTGCCATAATAATTCACACACACGTGGTTCCCACTGATACATTATTACACATCACTGGCTGGGGAAAAAAAAAAAACTGGAAGATGTACCTGCCGTTTAAGCTCTGCCTAGGTGAGAGAAGCCATTATGACCTGTTGTATGGGGTCATACATATACTGAGATATTCTCACAACAGCATGCACACACTCCACATAGGATTCAGACGCTCGAGGAGTGTGTGTATGTCACATTTGTGGAGAGAGAAGTCTTTCTGTTTTATTTTTTCAATGATCCATCAAGTAGTGTTTGTGTGTGTTTGACACGTCAGCATGTAGTGTCTCCAGTAATGCTATTTATCTTGCCTCCTGTGCGTCAGTTCCCCCTCCAAACACACACCCCCATCCCCTCATACACACACACACACACACACACACACACACACACACACACACACACAGAGACACACACTCACACTGGCCACTGTGTCAAATGGAATTTCCAAACTTCCCGGAACGTCTTGGATGAAATTCTACATTTTTATTTCTCATTCCCCCAAAAATCCACATAGCTCTTCTCTGATTGCTCTCTGAAGGACCCTGGCCTTCGCACATGCACACACACACACACACACACACACACACACACACACACACACACACACACACAAATGTTTTTTCAACCAGAAGTCTCTACATTAGTCATTTGTCCATAACCGCACAAGAATGTCTGCAGAGTTTTGTCATCTAATGATGGAAACTCACTGATTCATGTTTTTCAGTCACTGATGTGGCGTTTGCTACAATTGATGAAGAGATTAGGAGAGAAGAAATTCTCTTGTTTATGCACTGGCTCTATGAACATGTGGGCAATATTTATTTTATCTCTCTTGTTCTGTGTGTGTGTGTGTGTGTGTTAGTGTTTGTATATGTGTGTGTATGTCATGTCCGCCCATCACAGAGGGTCAGTGTGAGTTCTGGGCTCACCGACACCAGCTGAGTTTCTAGTTGAGGAAACCCAGAGGGAAAAAAAATCAGGGTTTCCTCCCTGCTGCTAAAATTATTCCCCCTAATTATAATGATGGAGCCTTAGGTGAATGAAGAACACTCAAGGCCCTTCACTCCTGTCCTGCTCTCCCTCCTCCTTCCCCTGACTGCATCCTCACCCTGCTTCCTCAGCAACCTTCAGCCGAGGACACACACACACATACACACACACACACACACACGGCCGTGCACAAATGCACACATATAAACACTAAACCTGTAGCTCATACAAAGCAGGTCTTTATTCTCTTGGACGTGTCTCTGCTCTCTATGTTTTTGCACCTGTGTGTGTACATGTGTGTGTGTGTGTGTGTGTGTGCGCATGCTGGTATTTCCTCTCTTGAGCGGGTTACCAACCACAAACATACCTCCCTCTCTCTTTCCATCTTTTTCTCTTCCTCTCTCTCACTGTACTTCTTTTTCCTTCTATCCGCTGTGGACCATGAAAGACAAGCAAGACCTTTCCTCCAGATCCCAACCCTACCTCACAAAAACTGTTACATCCACACATATAGCAATAAATACACGGCCATTTATTGTAGTAATTCCCTACTTAAAGCTTTCGGTTAAACTCAGTTTGCACAGATTAAAAAGATTTGACTTCTGCACCTTGTTCTTTGTGTAAAGTAAAGGCTCAATTTATGTATTTCAGTCATTTTGTGGATGTAATTTTTCCAGCAGTTTAGGATGCATAAGAATCATCATGATATCTCTTGTTCCCACAGCTAACACACACACACACACACACACACACACACACACACACACACACACACACACACACACACACACAGAGACAGACACAGAAATGAAGAGCATAAACTACATATACCTGAAATTTGTAAGAGCTTGTCACAACCAGGGTGTCCGACTGTGAATGACTATTATCATATTTTGTTGTTTTGTATTTTTGTGTGTCCCTGTCAGACTTTGGTTGCCCTCATACGCCTCTCTTCCCCCAACCCCCCAATCCTCTTCCATCCCCCTCCCTCACCCCCTGGCTGGATCAGATGGGGGTTCTGTGCCAGTGAGCACTGTTGAGTGGCTGCTCTGATACCACAGCCAGCTGATTTTTTTTTTTTCTCATCCACCTCTTTTATCTCACTCTTCCGTCTATCTGCATTTTTTATCCAAAATTCAAGGCCTTGAAAAAGTAGTAAAATACATTAAATTTAGTAGAGGAGAAGTGTAATTGCCTCGGTTTGTGTTGCGTGTCCATTTGTAAATTCAAACCGAACAGAGTTTGAAACAGAATATGGAAAACATTATTCAATTTTATATTATAAGATATAGATTAGGTCTAGATATTATTTTTTTTAAATCACATCTACCTCATAAACACAAACTGTTCCTTAACAATTTATTTCCTGTTTCTCACACTGACCAACTTTAGTTTTGGAACCTAACATCTTCAGTTGACTTTTTCATCCCTGGTTCCATCACACTTCCTGATTTGATCGAGTTTTGGCTAGGTGGCCATAGAGGCAGTATTTTTTAGCCCATCACTCATAAAATCAATACTGTCTGACACAGACAGTCCCCTGTAGCAACACTGGTTACCTGACAACATTGTATAAGAACCTGCTTTCTTGCTTCAACCTGAAAGTCTCGGATATACCTCCTCCTCCTCTTCCTCCTCCTCCTCCTCTTGCTCCTTTCTCCTCCACGGTTGAGTCTCTCACCTGAAGGTGTAGTGCAGACTAGTGTTGGTGCTTAAACACCATGCCAGTGCGCACTGGAGCAGAAAAGACACACACTTGCAGACACTCGCGCACACACACACACACACACACACACACACACACACACACACACACACAGAACTCCTGACAGCGCGGTGTTGTAGGAACACAAAGCCGTCTTTTCCTTGGGCCCCTTGGGAACCTGAGAGAAATCACAGCCATCTCCAGCCGTCAGATCCCTCCACTGGCCTCTCTCTGTCTCACTCTCTCTGTGTCTCCATCTTTCTCTGACTCTTTTAATAGATAGATAGATAGATAGATAGATAGATAGATAGATAGATAGATAGATAGATAGATAGATAGATAGATAGATAGCGGAGCATCACCGGTAGATGCTAGCTGGTCAGTGGCCATAATGGGGGAGTAGGTGAGCGGAGAGGAGGGATTGGGGATGTGGGACATATAGCCAGAGGGAATGTAGGTAAAAGGAGGGGTAAAGAGGCAGCACATTGGGGGGGAGGAGGGCATTGGAGGGCTGGAGAGTAGGAATAGGGGGATGAGGGAGGGGTGTAACGCTGAGACGTGTCAGAAAAGGGCGCCTGGGCCTCCCTGTGGAATGTGGCCTGTCTGCCTCCCCAGAAAGAACAGAGCTGGAGAGAGGGAAGAGAGAGAGAAGAAAGGGAAGAGGGGGCGAAGACCAGTTCTGCCCCATCATCGAGGGGAGAGAGGAGGGAGGGAGGGGAGGGAAAACAAAGAGCGGAGTTATAGGGTGAGAGGAAGGAGAGGTGGAAAAGTGAGAGTGCAGCGTAGAGTGTATGGCACTTTGTTGAGGTGCTGGGCACGGGTGTAGACATGAAATGATGCATAGCAGAGGAGAAATGTAAGCAGGATAAATCCTAACAAACCTCAAAGTGTGTGTGTGTATGTGTGTGTGTGTGTGGCTGGGTGGAGGGTGCTCTGACGAGAACCAGGTGTCTTCAATTCTTGCCTTTTCCTTACGTCCCTCATCCTTTTTTTTTTTTTTTTTTTTTTGCAGATGTGAGTCCATACTTTAAGCACCGTCACTCCCCTCTCGCCTCTGTTCTCACCCATTCCTGTCTCCTCCTTTTCCCTCGCCATCAATTAATCGCTTCTGGTGTTCCAGCAGCTACAGTAGTAGCGGGTGGTGATGACGGGCGGAGAAGAGGGGAAAGTAGGAGGGAGGAGAAAGAAAGAGAGACTGTGACAAAAAGGTGCCATTTCCTCTTAGGAGTGCCACTTGTCGGTCGACTAAACCATCCACTGAGGGTTTTTTCCTCTTTCTCGTTCTCTCTGTCTTTTTCTCTCTCTTGCCTTTAACTCACTCTTACATGCAAATAGAAAGTGAGAGGCAGATTGTAGCGGTGGTCTCCCTTCCCCGAGGGTTTAAAGGGAACATTGGTGGAGAAAAAGGCGGTCTTAGAAATTGGTTTGGAGCTTCGATCCCCACTCCCATTTGTCATGTTCTATTTTTTCCTCAACGCTTCCCTTTTTTGCTCTCTCACATGCACACAAACACACACACACACACACACACACACACACATACTGACAATCTTTGTTTCTCGCCGTCTCTCATACACACACACACACACACACACAGGCAGTTATACACATGCACCAAGCTGATGTGAGTTAATGAAGGGTGTAATTAAGGAGCCACAGTGATGACTGGAGATTGGGGGAAGCCGATACAGATCTCAGATATACACAAACACTGATGATAGATAGCTGTTTTGTGTGTATGCACATGTGCAAGAGTGTGAGTTTGGGTTCGATGCCGGGAGTGCTTTGCGGACAGATGTGTGAGATGGGTGTGTGTGTTAATAGACGATGAGAGATGCTGGACGATTCAGATAACGTACGGCTTCCTGTT